GACTGCATCATCCAACAGTGTATATAACAGTTGGGCATTTGAGCCTTTATGTGTCTCTGGTTATTGTCATTTTTAGTTACTTTGAATTTGGTCAGCATTCTAAAAGGCTGGCACGAAAGATCTGCTGGAGGAGTAGCTATAGGCATGTGATTCACCAGGTCCTCTGGGGCAAATAGTACACAGCAAAGAGTCAGGATCCCCTTGGGCTATGTTTATAACTGGTTCCTTCTGTGATATGTAGAATCTATATATTTTGTTGTTATAATGGCAAGTTTTTAGCATAATTAGGGCATGACCATTGTTTTAAAGTAGTTGAGACCGACCCCAAGACAGGGGCAATCTCTCTCTCCCCTGATTTGACAGATTCTTAGCGTAGATATTTTGAATCTTATGTAAATGAATTATACTGTATGTATTCCTTATAACTGGCTTTTTTGCTGACATTTTTCTTTTTTTTTGCTTTTTTTCTGTTTCCTTCTTATGCCACTTCCTCTGGGATCCCTTTCCTTAAACTCTCAGGTGAAGGAAATACTTCTACATTCCCATATTTTGCCCCTATTCCCATAACTAACACTTACCTCAGAGGTATAACAATTTGTTTGCATGACTCTCTTCCCCAGTAAATTCTTGATTCCTTTGAGGATAGGAATTTATTATATTTACCTTTGTTTCCAACACAAAACTTGGTACCTACATATATTTAATGAGGGGTTGCTAAAGGAGAGAAAAGAGGAACAAACTAGATTCTATTCAGTTGTCTATTTTAAATGAGGAACAAATTTGCATAATCTGCTGGCTTCTGAAGCCAGAGACTCCTCCCTGTTCCTCATTCTATCCCACCTCTCCAGCAGCATTCCTTCATGCCCTCCCACCTCCTCCTTGCAAGGAGCAGCTAAATCACATCTTCTTTTATGTAGATAATTATTACTTTTTGCAGAAAAATTTTGTGGTACAATTTCTTATAATCTAAATTCCCAGCTTCTACAAGGTTAGACAACCTCAAAACAATTACTGTTTATGAAGAAGAATGAGAAAATTAAGCTTGCTTAATTTTATAGTTATGAGATACAGTCATGTTGATGAGTAGTTGTCACTCATTTCCACTTATGGGTTGTAATCTATGGCAATGTAATAGAATTTAATTATCAAGTCTACCTTCAATGGCCATTTGTGTCAGTTTCAATTTTTATTTTTATAGATATTGTTATAAACATACTTAAATATCTCCCAATATATATGTACTCGAGAGACTGTAAAGACACTCTGAAGAGTAGAATTTTTATGCATCTTAGACTTTACAGCATTAAACTGTTTCCCACGTGGTCACACATTTACACTCTCACTACATGGTTCTAAGCCCCACTGTGGACAATCTCACCAACACTTGCTATTTGCAGATGTTTCAATTTTGCTATTTCAGTGGATATGAAATAGTATCTCCTTGTAGTTTGATTTGCATTTCCTCAGCTATTAATGAACTTGAGAATCTTTTCATATGCTTATAAGCCATTCATATTTCCTCTTCTGTGAAATGCCTATTCAAGTCTTTTTGCCAGTTTTTCTATAGGTTTTTTTTTTCTCCTTATAAGGTATCAGAAATCTTTACATATCCTGGATGCCAGTCCTCTGTCAAATATAGTTTCTCCTTGTTTGTAATGAATTTTTTTACTGTCTTTTGATTTTTAAAAGTATCTAAAATTTAATGTGGTTCATTGTATCAGTTGTTTCCTATTAGTTTGTGTTTTTACCTTTAGCTTAGAAATCCTGTCCAACTCCAAGGTCTTAAAGATCTTCTGTATTTTCTTCAAAAAGTTTTAAGAGATTTTCCCTTCAATTATTTAGCCCTCTGGAACTGCTTTTTGTGCAAGTTCATGTGGAGGGGAATTGGTTTTTTTTGTTTTTTTTTTTTTTTTGCCTGTGGATAACCATTTATTCCAGCTTCAGTTATTACGAAGTCCATTCTCTTCCCACTTAGTGTCATTCCCAGCTCTGTAATAAACCAAGTCTCCAGAGATGTGTGGGCTGGCTTCTAGGTTCTCTATTTTGTTTTACTGGAAATTTATCCATCCCTGAGGTTATATACCATTGTATCAGTTACTATAATTTTATTAGAACTCTTGGTACTGGCTCTAGCAAGTTTTCCATGATGTACTTTTTCTTGAAATTATTGATTCTTCTTGGGACTCTTTCCATTTCCACACAAATTTTAGAAGCAATTTGTTGAGTTACTTTAAAAAAAAAAACCTATTGCTGTCTTGGTTTTGATTGGTATTGCACAAAATAGTAGGTAAATATTTTCATGATATTAAGTTTTCCTAACCATAAATATGGAAGTTTTTCATAGACCTCTCTATTATATTTTTAGTTCAATATATTTTTGTCACTTTCTCCATGAACATCTTGTAAAACTTTTGCCATATCTATTCCAAAGAATTTTTATATTATTGCTATTCTAAAATATTCCATTTTTAAGAAATTACTTATTCTGCTTATTGCTTATATAAAAATACTAAGCTCACATTTGGATGGAGACCTTACTAGTAGTCTCTATTGCTGATTAACAAATTACCCTAAACCTAGTGGCCTAAACTCATAAACATCACCTTACATCTTATTTAAATAAAAAATTCAGAAGCAACATAGCTGGGAAATTGTAGCTCAGGGTCTGTCATAGGGTTGTAATCAAAATGTCTGCTGGGAGTATAGTCATGTGAAAGCTTGACCAGGGCTAGAAGATTCTCACTTGGGAGGGGATCTTTTCATCGTAATGGTAGCTTCTTTCTCTATGGAGAAGCTTTTCAGTTTCATATAATCCCATTTGCTTGGTTTTGCTTTTGTAAAATTTTAGGAATGAGAGGTGAGAAATTAGTCTTTGGTAGAGGAACAGACTTTTAATGAAAGGACTATTCACCCATAAAAAATGTGGTACAAGGAAATGGACTTCTTCTACTAGATAATGTTGTGTCTATATGGGATGCCTCACAACTGTGGCAGCCATCTTGTAATCAGGAAACAGGTTAACACAGAGACAAAGTAATAAGGATGAGAGAACAAGAAATGGCAATAACCTGAGTTTAAAACTAATGAATTAATCAACTTTGAAAATGTCCTATGTTGGGACTTCTATTGTAAGAGCATGGCTTTTCTTTACTGTCCAGTCTAGTTGAGTAAGGGAATCAGGTCACTTGCACCCAAAGGTATTCTTATTAGTATACATCTATATACAAAAAATAAAAGCAGAGAGAGGTTAGATTGGTAAAACTGAGAAGTCCTCTTTCAGGTATGTTTAGCTGGAGATGATTTTGGTAGGGGTGGGGTGTTGCGAGTAGAGATCAGAAGACCAGGTTATACTATTTTTGTATCTTAAAAGGGTTTGAACCACTCTGGTTCTTCATTTTATCATTTGTGAAAAGAAGTGGCTGGAGGAATCCTCTGAACCTTGTATGATTCTGTTCTCTGAAATGAAGCAGTTGAAAACACTTTACACAGCTTAAAGCAGAGGTCCTCAACCTTGGTGCATATTGGAAATACCGAGGGAGCTCTCAAAATGTTCCAATACCCAGGCAGGCCACAATTCAGACCAATTAAATCAGAAAATGGAGAGGGTGAGGAAGGTAGGCATCAGTAGTTTTTAAGGCTCTCCAGGTGAATCCAACATGCAGCCAAGAATCAGGACCATGGGCTTTCAGGGACCCAGTAAACCCAGGAGGGGGCAAACATCACCAGCACAAAGAGGGACAGGTCAGGAGGGGAGGCGTCAGCAACCTATGCCAGAGGATCTGCTCTCTGCATTCGAATCAAGAGTGTTTCTTCAGGCTGAAGCTCCCAGTAGCTAACAAGAGTGTTTCTTTAGGCCAAAGCTCCCACCAGTTGCTAGAAAGAAAAAGTAAAACCTCTATGCTGAAGCAGGGCTGAAAACTGAGTTGAGACGTTCTTTGCAAATGAACGTCCTGAACATGTGCAGGACGTGCAGATTCACATTGATGAAGATGCACCGCCTGCCCCTAAACACACGAGGGATTGCCAACTTTTCACTTTGGGAATAAACTAAAAGGGGCCATAAATTTAGGGGAAAAGCAGAGTCCTTTCTTTAATAACTAAATCTTTTTTTGAATAGAACATCAGGCCGTTCGCCCATGTGAAAATTTAAAAGCAGTGATGCTTCTGCTCTTGGGTGACATATCAGGATGTGATGTGGATGATTCCATTTGCAAAGACAGGCATCCTTCAAAAGGGCTCTCCTTCCGACCTTCCCATGCAGCCCAAGGACGAGCCGACATTGGGTCAAGCTGGCACAGGAGACCAACAAGAGCTGGCCAGAGTCATACTTGCTGCAAACCGCTCTTCTTTAAGAAAGAAGAAAACTAGACAAAAAGGATCTCATGGGAAACTGCAGGTGGAAAAGTGAAGCAAAGGGAGAACACTAGGCAAAAATTCACTCTCTAGCCTGGAACCGACTCAATCTGGCACAAGACCTGAGCTAGCCAATTCCCCTCTCTGGATCTTAGTTTCTTTCATAAAGTTAGGCATTTGAGTCCCATGTTCTTCAAGGTCCTGTTTAACCTATATTTGATGTTTCAACCCATGGGAAGAGGGCACCCTGGGAATAATGAACTTCAACATCTAGAGAGGTTAGGCAGCTTGCGGATGAAGCAGTGGGTGGGGACTGACTACCTAAGGCTGTATACCCTATACACCCTCATGCATCCTTCCCTCAACCTCTCCTCGCGAAATGTCAAAGCTAGTGAATGGGGAGGGAAGGAGCAAGGGCACTGAAAAAGTATTACTTTTATAAAAACAGGGTTCCAGGCTGTGACTTGACCCTCCAAAATGAATATAAAGTAGGCAGCTGCTATTCAACTCCAAGTACATGTTGCCATAAAAACAATCTTGCAATTTTTGGAGGGAAAAAAAAGAAATAAAGATTTTTATGTAGTCTGTTGATTGTTTGATGTTGTCAGTAAATTCTCTTATAAAAAACTAACAAAACCCTGCATCAACCAAAATATATCTGCAGACAGATACTGCAAGCCAGAAGTTGAAAACTTCTTCTGATAAACGATGTTATAAGTTGACGCTTCATAATTGGGTCTTGCCAAGATGCTGGTCATTATTTCCCTTTAAGTTCAAGATACAAATGCAGAAGACCTTTCTGGATTTTTAGGCAAAAACTGGAACTGCAACTTGTGTTGTGACTCTCACCCCAAGAAGCTGAGCCTCCCCCACCATTGTGGCACTGATGCCCATAGCCCTCTCCCTATGTGCAACTAGGAACTTGGATCCTTTGGGGATAGGGAGGGCTGCAGGAGCTTACGGGAGCCATTGCAGCCTTCCCACACTACCCCCTCCCCATTTTAAAGCTAAGAAGTGGTCCCCAAGGTAACCTTGACCCAGCAGGCCATGTGTATGATGACCAGTAAGCACAGACAGGAGTACTGAGGAAACAATTGCAGCAGCTCCAAGCCACATCCCTTGGGACCCAGTTCCATTGGCCAAAAGTTTGGAAGTGTGTTCACTAATGGCTGGTACCTTCCGCTCAGGTGGATCCAATTCCTGGTCCCAACTATGCTCACTTGTTCTTAACCAAAACAGGGGACTCTTGGTTGATGGTTTCTTATTTGACTGTGACTCTGAGAAAGGAAACATACTCTTATATATCAAACACATTTATTCTTAAAGTGAGAAGTTCACAAAGGATAGCTAAAGGAGAGTGAAATACTTAGAGCAGAAAAATGGTGGGTGCTAGCCAAACCTCACATACAGTCACAGCAGTGTTATTCCAATAGTATTTTTCCAGCATAGCAGATCACACGTGTTAAAATTAACTGCATTCTCTGAACACCTCTTGGTAATGTGCACAATGATAGAAGCAAACATTCGGGGACTCCTGTCCTTAAGATCTTACAGAATGGATTTACACACACCTCTGAACAAGTATACTACCACACGTCCAAAACAAGTCACATCCACGTTTCTAACAAAAAATATTTTTACTTCAAAGTAAATTAGGTAGAAAAACTGAAAACAGCAAGAGAAATATATGCAAGAAATAGACTGCTTCTTTTATGTGCAAGGTACTGGATTCTTGAATCGAGAATCAGTGTCAGTTCTCACTTTCAACATCACATAGAAAAAAGTGTGGTGGAAAAATGAATCGCCTTCAATATGAAGGATGTGAGTTGTATACACCAACAACACTCTCGAGATACAATGGTATTGCAGAAGGAATGCCAGTATACAGAGTGGACCTTCTTATCGGGCCAAACACTCATGAGTTATCAGATGGCCGTTCAGATATTTGTGTTAAGAGACTACAGTGTTCTGGTTGAATCAAGGCACTTGCAAAGAGCCATCCTTGACATGACATGGAGTCCCCAGAAGTGGTTAGCCACCAATGATGGCATGGATTTTTGGTCAGGCAGCATTCCAAACTGAGAACCTGGCATGCTGCCTTGATGACCAACAAGGTCACTTATAACATTAGAACTGCCAAGTCAGATTTGCTTAAATGTTCCCCCAAATCATAGTTTTTGACAAATCACATCTGAACAGAAAGGCTTCACTTCACATCTTGATTCTGCAGAGTTATGATGCACCTTTCCCCAATCCCACCCAACAGCCCTAAAGTGTTTGTTTATTCTTCACAAGAATACACAGAATGGATCTTGTTCTCCTCTCTAAAAATTATTTCCCCAGGAGAGCACTGTAAAACCAACTTTAAAACACAAAGTAACCTTCCATTTTCTCACCACCAGTTAAATATCAGACCTCCCACTCCTGCTGACTCGAGCTGCTAAGGCCCTGTGTACACTTTTCAGACTTCCCTCATACCATTAGCACAGCTTTCCGTCACCATCAATCGTCCTTCCTCAACCTTTCCTTGCCCAATGTGAAAGCTAGTGAACTGGGAGGGGTGGAGACCGGGCACTGCAAAAGCATGACTTATAAAAACAGGGTTCCAGGCTGTGACTTGATCCTCCAAAGCAAAACTGGGCAGCATCATCCATACAGATCCCAGAACTAAATTCTCAAGTGACTATCTTTTTGTAGCCAGGTCTCAAAAGCTCAAACCTACACCTACTGGAGGCAAGTAGCACAGGCTTCCTAATACTGAGCAATACAGACCTAGAACTACATGGAGAATATGACAGGTGAACAGCAGTCACCAGGTGGCTTCATTCATCGATAAGAGGCCAAGTTGTCCATCCTCCCCCAGCTCTGCCATTCTGGGAAGAGCCCGCTGGCCAGCCTGGGACTGCCAAAGATAGTTGGCTCTAACTCGGTCTTAGGGGGCACCTGATAGAATGCATAATCCTGGGACACCCTCTGTGTCTGCACCCCATCTGGTTTCCATTGCACGTGGACAATTCTGTAATTCTGACCCTCGTTGTTGTCCCAGAAGACCTGCCCATTAGCATGGTAAGCAATGCAGAATTCAATTTTCTCCTCAGTTGGAATGACAGCAGGTAAATCAACGGCAAAGGAGAAGGTGTCGCTCTCCGAGCCACCGTACACATTTTTCATGTAGACACAGTCCACATCGGTGTAGCTTTTCCAACTATCGAATGTGATGCGGATCTGAACCTTCTTCTCATAGCTCACATTTTTCACTTTCACGGTCCCTGTAACTGTTCGCTCCTGCAAAGAGCAGTTCTCCAGGCAAACAAAGTTCTTCTGAAAATGGTTCCGAAAACTTAGGTAATCAGCAGAAGGTTGAGGGAAATCTAAAATCAAGTTTTTCTCTTCGTGGAGTTTTAGGCCAGAGGACATATCATTAATGTCCAAGAGATCAAACTGGAGGTCCCAGACTGGTTCTTCTGGGAGGTCAGAGAAGACATGGATGGCGGTAAGAGACAGGCCCTTGGAGTCAGCAAACACTACACGCTTCTTGGCCTGACTGTGGGAGCGCTTCCAGTCACTCTGTGATTTGGCTTCCTGTTTTATATTGAGACATGGTTTCAGAGGTTTTAATTTGTTCACAAAATTTCTTCGATGCAAGTCGTTGTAAGGGCCCAGGAAACTCTTCAGGGGTGGTGAATGAGCCAAGCAGAGCCTCATGGCCACATCCACTGGCATGACTGAACTTGTCAAAGGCCGTGGGTCTAAAACCTGGATCATTCTGGAACACAAAAAAGAAAAGAAGGGTTATCACCTGGATCTGCAATACTCTTCTCCTGGCTCCAAATATTTGTATATGAGTATGCATATTTATATGTGTGTATATATGTGTGTGTGTGTGTATACTATTTTTATGTATATACACTATTGTATGTATATATACTCTGTGTGTATGTGTGCGTATATAAATATATACACTATTTTTGTATTAACTAAGTTATAGTCAGTACAGTAAGTATCGGGGAGCTACAATCCTATGTAGTAAAAGAAAAGAGGATTAAATGACCAAATCTGCATTCTATGTTTGGCTCCACCCTTGACTGGCTGGCTACAAGGCCATGGGTTAACTGCTTGCAACACTTGAGGGTCTCAGTTTCCCCATCTGATTAATAAAAGGGTTGGATGTGTTTTGAGTTCTCAAACTTATCTGATCACTGTGGCCTCAGGTTTTTCTTCCTTTAAGGCAGACTCCTGGGACTTAGAGCCATTGAGGCAGAATCTCTCAAGGTGGAGACAAGAAGGGAGAAGGTCTTAAGCTTCCAGGGTGATTCTAAAGATCAGACAGGTTCTGGAACCATCTAACCAGGTTCTGGTTCCAGACTCTGTGCTCCCTCTGGCTGTTCTGCTGATTCTGCTGTTGAATTGATTACACTTCTCTGGAAATGTAATCCACTTGAAAAGGGGGGGAAAAAAGCAATAAAAATTCTGATGGAATAGCTTTGAGAGTAAGATGGCTGGAAGGAGTGAAGTCAGAGGATTATCTTCTGCACTTTAATAATCATGCTCTTCCTCATCTTTCACAAATAACCCCCTGAAGTCAAGTCAGCAATTCACACCCTTAAAGAAGTTTCACTTAATCTCTATTTCATATAGAAAGATGTCCATGACAAGTCTAAAAGAGTTGGTTATCTGAAATTTGAACTGTATTCAAGATATGTATATATAAACCTATAAATACTGAAAAACTCAGCAGGAAATACATCAAGAAATCAGCGATTTTTGAGGGTTAGGATAATAGGTGATGTATTTTCATCTTTCTACTTTTTTTTGTATTTTCTAATGTTTTGGCAATGAATTTTTACAATTAAAAATTAAAGCTATTTAAACATCTTCTAACATAACTATGCTTGGCAATACTAAATCAAGAAGTGTCCAGCAAAAGGTATTTTTCTGGCCTTTAGCCTTCAATATCTATTTTGCCAAGACTATGGTGGTATTTTTGCCCTCTCCTAGGCTTATAGTTAAGAAGTGTGTGTATATACTACTGTACATAACATTTCTTAATCTGCTTTTAGCAACTCTTCACACACGGCTCCAAGCACACACGCAAGTGGTTATTACCATAAAAAGAATAATGAAAGAACAGTCACAGAATTGAGCATTGGGATTTTTCTGGGAGTTGTACAAACTTAGAACAAACAAATGAAAGCTAAAGCTATATTTGTGAGTCTAATAATAGTTAACAGAATTTCTAAGGAACTCTTTTGCTAAGTTATGTCTGGAGAAGTTATTTAAAGTAGTTTGTGGGAGGATTTTTTTGTTTTGGGGTTTGTTTTGTCTTGTTTTTACTTTTTCACTTATAGAAAGACCATTTTAGGGTTTGGTGGTGTCCCTGGAATCTTAAATCCTAGCAGCCAACAGCCAAAAAATAATCATTTGTTCAAACTCTGAGACTTAGTTTTACAATGGCAAACCTTGGTAAGCTTGAAGGAGAACGAATAAATGCAAACCTTGTCCTGTACTACCCATCCCCCAAGCTAAACTACCAAACCAGCAATGCCCAAGTACTGTGTCCATAACGTAAGCCGCCCAAGTCCTTGGGACAGTTTGGCAGGAGGAGGAGATAGTCGAATCCATGAAGGAATCAGAACTAAAGCCGACTCACATTAAAACTGTTCTGGTTCAGGATGCTGATTCCCAAAATAAGCTCTGCCTAACTAGCACCCAGCAAATCTCCACACCTCCGAGGCATCCCGGGTCAGCTTCAACTCATCAGTGAACTTGCCTTTCTGCTTGCAGTGATAACATAGGAAAATTGCAGCCCAACCTCCCCACAGCTGCGCTCTCCTCTCTGCCCCAGGTAGAGAGTCTGCAGTCAACCTACCTGGTGCAGCTCATTTGGCAGAGATGTGGCGGTGAACAGTGACAGCCGGCACTCCGCTACCTGCACAAGTTAGCACCCCGCTCGCAGCCTTCCAGGCTCCGTGGTAAATGGGACCCATAGCGGGTGCGGCGCCCGAGATGCCACTTATCTGCTCCCGACCACGTGAACCAACCCTTCGGACCAATCGCCAGACCATGGGCCCCACGGCTTGGCCAACCAGCGCCCAGCTGGGGCGCGAGCCCTCGCCCGGGAACGTGACCGCCGTGATACTGGACTTGCGGAGCTCAGGGACTCCAAGGCCAGCTGGACCCAGCAGCGCAACGCCAGCCCTCAGCGAGGGGGCGGGGGTGGAGCGTGGAGGCTGCCCCGTAACGCACGTAGCGGGTGCTGGACTGCAGAGAAAAGCTACAAACCTCAGCCAGGCGGGGCGCCAGCTTGGGCTGCGCGGGAGAAGATGCCTTTTACGTCTCAAGAAGGCTGTGCACAATTAAATCTGAGCATAGAAAGCTGTGATTTGTCCCAAATGTAATTATTCTTGTTTGAAATGTTTGTTTTGCTCACTGGTGCAGGGGCGCATCTTCTGCCTTAGCTTAGTGTGAGCAATCAGAAGGTGGCTGCAGGTTTTTTGGTTAAGGTGAATCCGCAAACGCACCACAGAGTAGAGGATGACTGCCAGGAATTACCAACTGCGATAAAACAACGAGGTAATTGGATTAAAAGGCATTTTGTATCTCCTTCCACTTTGCTCCCTGGAGAAGAAAACTAAAATCAGAAATGATGTGGCCTTTTTTTGTTCTCGTGACGGGTCAGCCAAAGAGCACATGGTCGACCCAAATCCCTTGAATGGGTTCTGACGTCCTTCAGCACCAATGTGGTCATCAAACTATTAAAATATCACACTAGGGCCTCCCTGGTGGCTCAAGGGGTTAAGATGCAACCTATGAAGCTACCCGCAGCCACTGCAGCAGGAGTTCAATCCCCGGCCAGGGAGCTACCCACATGGCACAGCAGACCTCTCCTGACTTGTCCGCTGCTCCCCTCAGCAGTGTATTTCAGTAGATCTGCCTGTTCTGTTCCCCACTCTGTCTCTGGCGAATCCTCTCACCCTCTCCCCACCTCTGGCCTGTACCCCAGCTCTTGTATGCATAAATAAATCTTAAAAAAAAAATCACACTAGGTTTCATGTTTCTCTCAAGCCAGTTACTTTTGCTGAGGTTTCATTGTTTTGTTTGGTTTGGGGAATTTTTAGGCATCGGTTACAACTATAAAAGTAAATATTTTAAGTCGAGTATAAATTACTTTTATTAATCCACGTCCAAGTTCTGCTCAATTGAGATGTACAAAAAAAAAAAAAAAACAACCCCTATTGTTTTTTTTTAATTGCTCTCAAACAGTAGAATTGCTGTAGTGGAATTATTAGAGAAAAAAGAAACTCATGCTAAGTATCACGGAGAAGATAATTAATGCTATGCTTGATTTTTGAAATGAAACATCCAACTATAGCTCTTCCAAGATTCTGAAGGTTGTAGCCTTTGGAATTGACACTAGCTATGTGACTCTAGGAAAGTTCTAGCCTCAATTTCTTCACATGTAACATGGGGATATGTTTCTCATAATGATTAAATGAGAAAGCTCAACACAGAGCCCAGCACATTTGTTTAACCCAGTAGTTCCCAAGTCAGTGCCCTATCCCTCAGTATTCTTTTTCACTTTAATATCAGCCAAGGCAGTTGCCTAAGCTAAGATATAGATAACAGCTAGTGCTATTGAAATTTTGCTACATGTCAAACACTGTTATAAGGTTTTTATATGTTTCATCCACTCATTCCCACAACAACCCTAGGTGGTGTGTACTATTACTAATCCCATCTTAGAAATAAGGAAACCAAGGCACTGAGAGGTGCAGATGTATGTGGGATCACAGGTAGAACTGGGCTTAGAACATAGCTGGTACCAGACAGAGCAACAATTATTGTACCTTACTGTCTTCCTTTAACAACCCATCCACAATTAGAATGATAGTGGTGGAAGTTACCTTAGGTATCATTGGCTTCTAAGCTTTCATTTCACAGATGAGGAATCTAGAGCTCAGAGAAGCTGAGCTGCTTGCCAGGGACTAGTGAGGTTAGAGTCAAAATTAGAATACCGGGTCATTTTTAACTCCGTGCATGATCATATGTTGAGCTAAAAAGTGGGTATTACCAATTAAAGTTTTGAAAACAAAATAATAACAATGTATTGTGATCCCATTTAGAAGAAAATATGATTGTACATGGAAAATAGAATTTTTTATTTAAATTTTATTTTTTATATTCCCCATATAATTACAACCCCCTTATTTTGACCCCAAGCCCTCCTTTCCCCGCCCCCACCCCCATAGAGTGTCTCTGGTTCATAGTTGTTTGTTGATTTTGATATTTTCTTTCTTATAGTTATTCTTTTTCCTGGTCCCTTATTTAAGTTTTCTAGATTCCTGCTATGAGTGAGACCATTGGGTATCTTTCTTTTTCTTTCTGACTTATTTCACTGAGCATGATCCCTTCCAGCACCATCCATGTTGCTGCAAATTGCATGTGTTTATCTTTTTTGAATGCTGAGTAATATTCCATGGTATATATGTACCACATCTTCTTGATCCAGTCATCTATTTTTGGGCATTTGGGCTGTTTCCAAAGCTTAGCTATTGTAAATAGTGCTGTTATAAACATAGGGGTGCAGGTGTTCTTTGGAATTGATGTTTCTGTGTCCTTTGGGTAAATACCTAGGAGTGGAATTGCTGGATCATATGGAAGCTCTATGTTTAGTAGGTCAAGAAATCTCCACACAGCTCTCCATAGTGGTTAGACCAGTTTGCACTCCCACCAACAGTGCAGAAGAGTTCCTTTTTCTCCGCAACCTCGCCAATATTTGTTGTTGCTAGTTTTTTTATATGTGCCATTCTCACTGGTGTAAGATGGTATCTCATGGTAGTTTTGATTTGCATTTCCCTGATTGCAAGTGATGTTGAACATTTTTTCATATGCCTGTTGGCCATTTGCAGGAAAACAGAATATTTTTAGGGAGGGAAAAGTTGGAAGAAAAGGGACAATGGTGAGGGTAGATGTGGACATTTAGAAGTGAACTTAATGTAGTATATTTACATGCTGATTCTCAACAATGAACACCTGAAGCCTAGATAATGTTTACTGCAGTGTTAATTAAAAAAAAATACGCTATGTCAAAATGTGAACAGAGCTTCTTTTGAAATGGTGAGATTATGAGTAATTTAAAAATTTGTCATTTTGCTTTTCTGTATTTTTTAATTTTTCCACAATGAACATTGTAGAACAATGTAATTGAGAAATCATTTTTAAAGGCTTTTAAAGATTTCAGATACAATGAAACATGTTTAGCCTACCTTCTAGGTAGACCAAGAACTGTGTTGGAGGCTTTCACACACTTCTAATTTACTCACAAAGTTCTTTTGTGTTTGCGCTAGTTTCTATTCATGCTGCTTTCTCTCCTGCCCCCTGGTGCTGACTGATGCCATAAAAGCCACTCTCCCAACAACTAGATTCAGGAAAAGAGAGTTGTCTCATTAGAGTTAATACTCAATAAATCTCTACATTGAATGATCGAGGCTCTTGACTTCTCTTTTTTTTTTCAGTTTTATTGAGAGATAAGTGACATATAACACAATATGAGTTTAAGGTATGCAACTGTATTGATACACTTCTCTGTTGCAAAATGATTACCACTGTAGCATTAGCTAACTCTCACATCAGGGCATATATTTACTCTTTCTTTTTTGTGGTAAGGAAATTTAAGAATCACTCTCTTAGCAATTTTCAAGTACAGCTGACCCCTGAACAACAATTTGGATTTGAAATGCATGGGTCCTTACACATGAATATTTTTCATTCAATACAATTGGCCCCCATACCTTCAAGTTCCACATTCACAGACTCAACCAACCATAGATGTTAATTAGTTGGTTGAATCTTCGAATATGGAACCCATGGATGGGAGGGAGGCTGACTATAAGGAACTTGAATACTGGTAGATTTTGATATTCAAGATGGATCCTGAAACCAGTCCCTATGGATACCAAGAGTTAAGTAGTTAAGTTTTGAGGAAGTTGAACATTATACCCAGATTTTCATGAGGGTCAGCACTTCTAATTCTCTCGTTGTTCGAGAGTTAACTGTATTACTGCATAACTACAGTATTACTCACCAAATTGTATTATAGATCCCTAGGAGTTTATACTCTTTGACCAGTATTTGCCCACCTCCACTCCCACCCATCCCCTGTTTTCCACCATTCTACTCTCTGTTTCTATGAATTCAGCTCTTATGGATTCCACATTTAAGTGATATCATGCAATATTTGTCTTTTGCTGTCTGACTTCTTTCACTTGGCATAATCACTTTCACTGGCTCTTTCCTGGCTTTTACTACCCTTCATTATGGGGTGAGAGGAACTGGGATGGGATCAGTGTTCTTGGATAAGATTTGCACCAGTGAAGATGTGAATTAGGAATTAGAGGTAGTTTTATTATTATTGGTAGATTTTCTCCAAGTGTACTTTGGCAGCTTTCCAACAGCATTTTGTCTTATCCACCTTAACAATAAATCTATCAACAAGGGCGTCTTCAACTGGGCAGCATCTCCAGCCATGCCAGGAACCACAAGGACTTGGAAGAAACAGCCCTTTGCCTTCAGGATGCTGCAATCTTTAGTACAAAAAATCAAATTTAAACTCCTGAAATCTCCAGGGAAAAATCTAAGATGCCATGAAGAAAGGGATTAATGGTTGTGGCTTATGCAAGTGGGTCTCTTATAGCATTTACCCAATACCTTGTTGGAGATATGCCCTTGTGGAAAAAACACACTGGGGAGTTCCCTCCCAGGTTACCAATTTCTTTTCTGTGACCTCACCTTTTTTTTCAGTGCCCAGCCATGAAAGTGCCTAAATAGTGAGTGCCGCTACTAAAGTTTCCATACGTTAACCAGGGTTATGGTGTATCTCATAGCTGATTTTAACCCCCCCCACGCCCCGCCCCAGTATAGTCAGTGAGGTGGAGCTGCTCACTTTGATTCAAAGGACTGAGATTTCTGCTTTGAGCAGAAAATATTCAGTTCACAAAATAAATGAACAAAAAAATGAAATAATAATCTGACTATATTGGGGCCTCCCTGGTGGTGCAAGTGGTTAAGCACAGTACTGTGAAGCTATCCGCAGCCTCTGAAGCATGTGTTTGATCCCCAGAGAGCTACCCACATGGCACAGCAGACCTCTCCTGCCTCTCCTGCTGCTCCCCTC